AAATTTGAAGCTAGACCTGGACTGTTTCAACATTAAGGGGATCTGTGTGGAAGGTAGTTGTCTTTCTCCCTGCATTCTTCCCAGTAGGCTCTGACCTTGCCCTGCCTCACTCCCCTTTACCTTCTTTAACCACCTCCTTCCCACAATGCAGAAAGCAGCCATTGTCTTTGGTTTCCATACAGATGGAAACAATGGGAAGAGGACATTTCTAACATTTGACGGGGTGGTTCCCTGCAGTGGCTTCAGTCTCCACAAAACTGTCCATACCCACTATGGTGGCAGCAAGCCAAGCATACACACTTTGGAGGGTGGGGTCCTGGAAGCACCCTGGGCTGCCTGGGCCCACCTCGGCTCCTTGATCCAGGCAGGGCGAAGAGCTGCCAGCTCCCTTGCAGCCACTGGCAGCCAGGACACTCGGCAGCTCCATGTGCCTGCCGTTTTCTCTACACCATCTTAGCGTGGCATCTGGCAGAGGCAGACAAGGAGGACCACTGGGGCTGCTTTATCCGCGTGTCCACACGCCCCGTCCCGTTTCCCAGCGTCACAGAGGGCTGCCAGCCCACCCAGCCTCACTGCCCCCACAGCCCCTCACCGTGGCGGTGCTGCTGCCGGCCCCCGCCGCCCGCTGCAGGTGGCAATTGAAGATCTCCTCGGCGCGCCGCAGGTACTGCGTGATCTTCCGCTTCACGGCCTCCCGACGCTCCTTGTTGGGGTCAACTGCGGTCGGTGCAAAGGGTGGGTGTGAGGGGCCCGGCTCGGCCCCGAAGGACTGGCCTCAGTCCCCAGGGGGATGCCCCAGCCCTCTGCCCTTCTCCGGAAGGGATGCGCTCCCTGGACAGATGCCCCAGTGCCCTCAGTACAGTCCCTAGCGGGATTTTCCCGTCCCCTTGTCATTCTCCCAGCGGGGATACCTTGGCCCCTCACGGAACTCCCGATGTGAATGCCCCGGTCCCCTGGCTGGTGTCCCCGGAGGGATGCCCCGCTCCCCGGGAGGCCGCACACACCCTGCACGCCGCGGAGCAGCACGTCCACGCCGTTCTGGTAGTGGTTGAAGGCCTCCTCGTAGTCCTCGCTGACGTCCCGCTCCAGCGCCAGCCGCAGCTGCCGCGCCGCCTCCACCAGGTAATCGCGGCGCCCGCCGCCCTCGGGCCCCGCCGGGCCCACGCGGCCCCGCCGCTGCCCCAGGTAGGCGCGGGCCTGCGCCAGCGCCCGGGAGCAGGGCTCGGCCTCCGCCCGGCTCATCGCGAGCGGGGCTGCGCCGCCAGCCGGGCGGCGAGGCACGGCCCGGCCCTTCGCTTACCGGCACGGTGCCGCGCCCGGGCAGCGCGGCCGCCAGCATCCCCCGGCGCCGCCGGGCGGAGCGGCTGGGGCGCGGCAGGGGCGGGCGGTGCTGATTGGCCGCGGATGAGATCATCATCATCATCATCATCATCACCACCACCATCGCCCCCCGCGGGATCCGTGCCGGGGTCCCGCCCCCGCCCGAGGCAGGCGCTCCACCTCTCCGTTAACGCGCGGTGAGCGCCGCTGCTCCACTCGCTTTATTACCATCCTTATTCACCATTAATTGCCCTTAATTAACCAAGCTGCCATTCATTAAATTATGCCTTTGCAGCCGTGTTTCCTTCCTCCCATAACGCGTAATTAGCTGTGTTTTAATTAGCCTTTGTCGCTGTCGTCCACCCGACAGGTGCAGCCATTCAGCAGCTCCCCACTGCTGCAGTTAAGTTGGTGGGTGTCTTACCACTTCATCATGGCCAGCCCAGGGTACCCCTGGCTCTTCCCGATTTCCTCTTTCAAGTGGGTGCTGTTGGCCCTGACACTGAGCTCTCAGCCAGCCCTTCTACCAGCTCCTGCAGACTCATTGGGTTTTACCAACTTATTCCAAATGTACAGCAAAGGGAACATCAGCACAAATGCATTAAGATGCAGCAAAGTGACAGCGTAATCAAGATCCCAGCTGGTGGTTAACTAATGCTTTGTATGTGGATAATGTCAGTCTTTGGCTTATCCTAGAAACATGTATTCCTGCCCTCCTGGCCTGGCTTTTTCTTAGAAAGCCAGGATGCCTTGCAGGGCCTGCTAGATCACTGCAGTTATTAGTGAAGGAGATTTGCTGAACCAGGAGTGCTCAAGTGGTTACTGCCAACTGGTTTGCTGTGTCTGTGGGATGGTTGGTCCCAGATTAAATAGCTGCCTTACCACTGGCATGGCAGGGGACCTGCAAAGGGAGAAAGGCTGGAATGAAAGCTAAGGGATACCCTTGGAAAAACTGTGCTAAGATTGTTTGGGAAGAGGGAGGCCAGAGCATCTTTGTCTATCCCTTGCTAACCTATGCATGTCCCACTACAACAGGAAATGATCCTAAGATGCGGGTTTTCATTTTGTCAGGAGCTGGCCCTGTGCTGTGCCATCACACCACAGCAGCCTGGTCAGTCACTGTGTCCAGTCACTGGACCTGGTACTTGCTGTGGGACTGGCAGAGGTGGCACCCATTTGTGGCTGACCTGTGGTTACTTCAACCCTGCACACTTTTGTAGGGGATCTCCCTGGGCTCAGGTGCACTGGGCAGCTCTTTTGCACAGCCCATCCTGTTAATAACAGAACAGAATGGTAAAGCCTGTGCCCACAGCTCAGCATCCAGCAAACAAACACTGTCTGTCTTACAAACACCATTTCTTTGGGAGTATGAAAGTATTAACTATGCCTCAGAGGGCAAGTCTAGGAGGATGCAAAGCCATCTGCTTTGTAAGACAACTCACTGCCCAAATACAATCGGTGTGCTTGGTCCTTTGGTTTCTCCTCAAAACACTTCCAGGTTCCTTTTCCAACCTCTGCCTAACAGAGACCAATTTTGTCTGCCCAGCCTATTTATACCCACACTCTTTGTGGTCTTTTAATTCCCACCAGAGTCTGGAGGCTCCTCCTTGAAGTGAAAAGTCTGAGCAGGCAAGAAGTGAAGGAGAGCCAGGGATGAGAGCAGGGGTGCTGCTGGGACAACTCACCTGCCTGGCTTCAGCAGATCTGTGTGGGCCTGGAGAGGACAGAGCACAGGAAAAACACAAATCCAGCACAATGTATCTGTAGAGTGGTTTGGATATTGAGGTGATGGTGGCAGGGAGATGTGTGAAGAGGAGTTGCCAGGAGGGCACAAAACTCAGTTAAGTTCTTCATCGAACACCTCTGAAGCGGCCAGAAGAGAGTGAGCCAAAGGCATCAGCAGGAAGTGCCTCAAGGATGCTCCTGTGAGGAAAAGCCTTGCGAAGGAAGACTTGTACCAGCCCTCAGGCACAACTGCCTTTACCTGTGGGCTTCCAGGTTTGCATGTCAGTACTGGACAGAGGACCTTAAATTTGGGGGATTACTTTTAGATTAACCTGTTGAAGAGCTTGTGGTCCTTGTTGGGAAGTGGGAACTGCCAAAGCAGAACCAGCACAAATAGCAGGGAGAGGAGTGAGAGCTGCCTTTTTTCTCACAGGCTAAAACTGACACACAAGAGCTGGCAAAAGCTTAAAATATGCTGAGATTTCAAACATCACTGTCTTCAACAGGCAGGATTATGCCAAATTTTGTGAGGGTGTGAAAGACTTGTAAGTCACAATCAAGAAGTTAGGCCCTCGGTGTTTCTTTATTTGCATGGAGACACGTGGGAGACCTGCACAGGCACGGCCTGGAGACGCTGCTGGGTGGCAGCGCTCTGATGGCAGCCTGTGCTCAGGGAGACCAGAGGTAACCAGTGAAGCATCAGCTATGATGCTACATCTCTGGGGCAATCCCCACATCAGCTTTACAGTTACTTCCCAAAAAACGTAATTTTTTTCCTGGTGCATAAGGCTGCTTTTTTGTTTTGTCTCTCTATAACTATCCTCCTAAACCATCTTACTGCAGCTCTGGCTCCTAAAGCCTTATTAAACAAACCTTTGCCCTGTAAGGCTGGAAGACACAGGGAGCCCAGGGACACTGATAACCCAGTGGTGTGTTGTTCCTGGGCTCTGTGGGACAGCTGCAAGGGGTACACATGCAGGGAAAGGATGAGGGATTTGGGAGCACCGGGGCTGGAACATGTTTTCTGCCTGTCCATGGTGGGTGCTGCTGGCTTTGGGGCTGGGGTATGTCAGGGTCCCTTCACAAGGACACCAGTGTCCCCCTACAGCCCTGCGCTGCAGTGCCTGGCGGACATGGGGTTCTGCAGATGCAGCTGACCTTGTCAGAGTGCTCACACATCTGCTGTGGCCAAGGAGGGCTGCCAGGAGCTGCAGGTATAAAAAACCTACAACTGGGACCACACAGAGGAGGGACAGGCAGACAGTGGTTGGTCCCCTTGAGAGGAAACACGGGCATTGTACACAAGCCCTGAAGCCAGGAACTGCTCTGCCCTTCAGAGCAGCAATCCCCCACCCTGATCCTCATATTTCCATTGGGTGTGATGTCCTGCTGGAAGTCCCTGCCACCCTGGGATGAATAGGGTCTTAGGACTGTCCCCTCTGGCGGGGATAGGGAAAGGAGCTACCATTTCCCTGGGTGTGTGATGCCTGCAGCAATCACAGGAACTTCATGAGCTAGGGCTCATTAGGTTGCTGTTACCTCCACAGAGCCGGAGGAAGCCCTGACAGCTGGAGATGCAGCTCCTAAACCTCTTGTGTAAGTGATGTTTCCCCCTGCTCCTGCCCTGCCCCAACTATTCTGCTCATCATGGCTGCACTGGGACAGCCACATCCCTCCCAGCACCCACATTTTTGCTGTCCAACGCCCCATGCCATGGGAGGAACAGGGGACAAGGCCACACACAGCACCCAGGCAGCTCAGGTGATGGAGGGAGAGAAGCAACACAGGGGTCTGTGCAAGGAAGGTGCCTGGCCCTGCCACGTCTGGTGGGCAGAGCTGCCTGGAATATTTCAGTGCCAGGCAGTGGCCAAAGAGGTGACACCAGACACCAGGAACTGTTTGGAAAAGCCACTGTGTGTTAGTGTGTTTGACTTTGTTTTAATCGTAATAATGAGTCTTGATAAACTTATTTTTATTAATTAACATACTTGATTTAGGTAACTTCCTTTTTTAAATATGTAATACTACCAGGGTATTAAAGACAATACAGAAACCATCACATACATCCTCAAGTGCTGCACGTGGTTCTCCTTGGCCTCAGAGCAAAACCAGCCAGGCAGAAATGACACACAGTGACAGGGAAAGCCTGTGTGGAGCAGGCCAGCACATGGTCCACACAGACTTTGAGTGATACGGGGAGCAGCGAGTTCCCCTCATCTATGAGGTAGTGAAGGAGGAACTTTATGGGCTATTTTTGAGGCAAAGCCCATGTAGGCTGTGCTCCAGGATACTGTGGATGCCTGGAAATGGGATCCAAAAGGGATCCAGCAAGCTGCTGAACGATATGCCCAGCTGCACAGTTACAACTCACACAGTCCATGCCAGCTACATGGTGGCAGCATGCAGGTTCACATTACCACCTCCAGCTTTCCTTGACAGGGATCTGCCCTGTCCCCACGTCCTTCTGCCAGCCTCAGGCAACACCACCTTTATGGCTTAGAGAGTCCTAATTAACCCCCATCACAGGCAGCCCTGTCAGATGTGGGAAGGAGCCACCTTGGACCCCAGTTCTTGCTGTGTTAGGCTCCACCCTTGTTCCTCAGAGCAGGATAAACCACAGGTCCCATCATTTAAGGGTAACCTTGAAACCTTTGCAGATCTTGCCCTCCAGTCTTTTGTTTGAAGCTTTCAAGAATGACCCTTGATTTTTTTTTTTTTAACCCAGTGCCAGGAGTGCCCCACAAATATGCAAGTCCCAACTCACCCCTAGGGTTTCCAGCTATATGCACTGCTGCAGGATATGGCTTGCACAGATCAGCATGGCATGCATTTGGCAGACAGCCCCAGACCCACTGCAGCAGGGGTGGAAGTGGAGACAGGGAGAACTCAGGAGAACTGCCTAAAGCATTGAGAACCAGGGGCTGTGGCTTCCCCCTAGACCTGGGCAGAGAGCTGGCTGAGTGGGGAAAGCAGGAAACAGTAGTCCCCACAGCCACCTCGATGAGGGCCACCAGCTCCTTATACTCTAAGGGCATTCCCAGTAAGGAAAGGAGGCCCCAGGCCAGTCTGTTCCCATGTCAGGTAAATGACCCTCGGTGGGGTATTTCCTGAGTGGGCAGCCTGCCCCCCAGTGCCCTAAACTTTGCATCAGCCCTGCCAGGGAGGACAGGACACTGAGCCAGACATTTGGACTGGGGTGAGAACAGGATGGGCACGGTGAACAGAGAGAGGCACCAGTCCCACACTGTGGTGTGGAGGGGAAGGGCAGCCCACCCAAGGGTCTCCCAGTACCCAACTGAACTCCAGCACATGGATAGCCCCCAGCCCAGGGAGCAACCTGCTGGGTGCCCATCTCCAGCATCACACCAAGGGCAGTCCCTTGGTGCTGCAGGACTGGTGATGGGGACAAACTCTGGGTCACTGCCCTATTCCAGCCTACGTGGGTGCCCATGGGGAAGTTTCCTGCACTTGTTGGAAAGCAGACAGGAGCTGCCAGCTCCCATGTCTGACCAGCTTTTATTGAGCAGGGCAAAGCTGAGATGTAGCTGTGAATACATGAGGAGCCCAGCTCCCTTCTGTTCCCAAGCAGAACAGCTTCCCAGGCAAGATCCCTGGCACCTGCCTGGGCTGCCCTATGCCAAAACTGGGACGGATGCAGCCCAACAGCCTTGCCTGCCCCAGATTTCCTTCCTCCCCAGCTGCAGAGCACTGGCAGGACAGAGAAGTTTTGCAGGTGCAGCCCTTTGAGCCATCTCCACATCATGCTGTCCTCCCCAGCCAGTTCCAGCAGCACATGGCTCCTCATTGCCCCTAGAATGTCCTCAAACACCAACAAACTGCTTGAGCTCCTCAGCTTCAGCCCCAGGCTTGGTCACGAGTCCTTTTTTCTTGCTGCCAGTGGGGCAGATGGGGCAAGGGAGTCCTTGGTGCCAGGCTGTTCCCACCAGGGCCAAGCAAGAATAACAGTCAGCTCTTCTGTGCTGGAGTCCTGCTCTCCGCTGCAGCTGGAGGGACATGACTCCACAAGTGCCCCATGCTGGGGACAAAGGCAGCTGGCTCAAACCCAGGTGGCAGGAGCGAGGCTGGGGGCAGGGCAGAGGCTACCTGCGCGGTGTGCCACATCTGCAAAGAGAGCATGGTACAGGGTGAGCACTGCCAGCACGGGAGGCTCACCTGCTCTGCCCTGGATCCCCTTGCCTGGCCCCTGTGACACAGAACTGCAGGGGAGGCCTGCAGGCAGCCTCTTCGCGGGGAGGAGTGAGGGTGCTGGGGCTGGCACCGGCTGAGCCCCCAACAGCAGACTTCAGACAAAAGGGGGAAATGCTAGAGCAAACTGCTAGCCACAGATGTCACACCTCAAAAGTGCCCACAATGAGTCCAGCCTGTGCAACTACAGCAAGGAGTTTGAGAAAGTGAGATAAAGGATGGAACGAGTAGAGTAACCCAAACAACAATCAGTCAAGGACAGCAGTAAGGACACAACTGGCAGCAAGATGAGGCTGAAACTAGAAATTCATGAATCCAGGAAACCCAGCATGGTCTGTGATGGCAATAGAGCTAAACACCACCAAGTCACCCAGCCCATCCATCCCCATTGTGCTCGAGTTTGAGCTGAGCCTGGAGACTATCAAGTACCTTCTGAGTCTTTGGTAGAAGGCCTGTTTCCCCACAGCTACTGTCCCCTCCTGCTTACTTCTGTGTCTGCTCTGCACAAACCCTTCACTGCTCACAGTGTCAGCAAAGATCTAAATGCTTAATGAAGACCTTAATCCCAAGAAAATTAACCCAGAAGATGCCACCCATACCTGCCCCTGCTCACTTACAGTTCACAGTCTTTCCGTCCCTTCTTGTCTTGTCTTCTCTTACCTCGGCCCTTGGACCTCCTCCTTTAGAAGGAAAGTACCACAAGAATGGTTGATGTGTGGGAGATGAGACCCACAGTCCCAGCCAGTAACAATGTCCCTGGTGTCACTTACCTTCCCAGCCTCATCAGGTCCTGCCGGGGCCTGCAGAGTGGGAAAAATGACAGAGAGAAGTTGTTATTGGGCAGTGCTGCACGATGAGCTGCAGGAGCTGGTCCTGTGACATGCCCCAGCACACAGCAAAATCTACCTGTTATCATTCATATTTAAAACAGACACAATATCACTTCTCTTGACCTTATCAAGCCCTCAGTCAGGGCTGATTGCAGCAGGCAGAGAGAAGGCAGAGACAGCAAAGGGGCTGGTCGGCTTGGGTGACTACCCTGGGGATGTGACATTTTACCAGTGAGGCTGGGGAGGGCAAGTTCAGTCTTAGCTGCTCTTAGTGACAGCTTTCACATGTCATAGTGAAACAAGGTGCAGCATCCTGAGTAACAAACGTGGGGGATTTGCTGCAGAGTCTCAGTAGTGGGTTCTTAGCCATGACCTACCTCCCCCATGGGGGTCACAGCAAGGACATCTGCCACACCTACACTAACTACAAAAGGGAGTGATGTACGGGTGTGGAAAGCAGATTAGGAAGAAGCCAAAAACTGCTGCAGAAGGCAGTCTGTACAAGTGCTCATAGGAGATACCCTGGGAGTTACCCTAGGCAGGAAAACCACAAAAAGCTTAGGAAATTCCCTGCATGGGAAATAGCTGGAAGCAGAGAAGAAGGCAAGTGACACATCTGCTTCTTCCCACTCTCCCTTCTGCATCTACTGACAGACATTCCAGACAGAGACCGTGTGGAACTGGGTCTGCTCCAGTACAGCTGCTCATAAAACTGCAGGGGAATACCAATATGGGAATCCTCAGGATCTCTGAGGACCCTGCTCTTCCAGGCAAGGGTCATGTCTAATGGCTGCCCAGCAGGACACACATCCCCCAGTTTTCACAACACTAAATCACCCTTGGATCATGATGAAGAGTGATTACCAGGACCCCCCATGCAGGCAGTGCTGGAGTCTCTATGGCAAGGACCAGCTGCAGGCAGCACCAGAGCTGCTCCCACAGCATTGCAGTCCTCAGGCAGAGGCCCCATCCTGCCCAGGCTTTCACCACTTTTGGACACAGTGAGCACCCCAAGGGGTTGACAAGGTGCCAGGAGTCTGTGGCAGGCAGGTGCTGCGCATCCATTCCAGGCCAGCACTGCCTATCCAGGCCAGGCTGACACTGTGTGTTTTAGGTTTTCATTTGTTGGCTTGGGTGTAAACCTCTGCCGTACCCCCAGGTCTGTATGGGGCAGCCTCCCTGAAATGGTGGCCCAAAACTCAGCTGCTGAGCTTTCTCTGTGGGCCACGGTCACATTCAGGTATGCCAACCTTGGAGCTTCCCGCTGAGCCACCACCTTGGATGTGCTATCACACACCAAACACCTGCCACAGAGCCACCAGCCTTACTCCATTACCCACAGGCAGATCCTCTGGCTAAAGGAGCATACACCAGGCATGCCAAGGCAGCTGCAGGGATGGGGGCACAGCCCTGCAGACAGTGCATGGTGCCTGACCAGCCTTCACATTGGCACGTACCCCGTCATCTGTGGGGAGCAGGTGCAGAGATGTGCTGCAGCCTGCAGCTGGACAGGGCCACAAGCACTAGCAAACCCTAGTGCAAAGACAGCAAGAAGGGGTGCCAGCACAGCCAGGGTGCCCACAGGGCAGCCCTGCTCCACACACAGGGTGAGCTGGCAGGGTTGCCCTTGCTGGAACCCAGGAGTCCCTACCTGCACTCGCACCGCTTGTGCTCGGTGAACGCCATCTCCACATAGGGTGCCTCCCCATTTGGCTTTATCTTCAGGAGCTGAAAGAAGAGCAAAGGTTACTTCTCAGGCAGTGGCAGGAGGGGGCTGGAAAGACTCCTGCACCACTGCCTTGCCACCCCAGGCTCTTGGGAAGATGCATGTCTAACCTGTTCCTCGGGACCTCCAACAACAGAGTCCACCTCCACACGTAGGCAGCGCTGGCCAGGCCCAGCTGCCCTGGCAGCTTGGGAGGCTCTGCTAGCGCCGCCCCTTGTCTTCAGGGCTTTAATTTAAGTCCCATTGTCTTGGGATTTTCCAGCCTTAAAAAAGATTTTTCAGTCTCTGCCTTTCCAGAGAATTTTCACATATTTGACCCCTTCACACACCTCCTTTCTCTGACAGAAATATCTCCCCAGTCATGTTCTTCAGGCCAATCCCATTGCTGCTGCCTCCTCCTGGACCCCTTTCCTACAGCACTGAGTTGGAATTGACCGGAGTCAGTACCACAGTGTCTCCCCAGCCCAGGGGTACAGGATTCGCCCTGCCACATGTCACATCCCAGCCTGAAGTTCAGGTTGGACATCCAAGGGCCTTACAGGGCAAGTTCACCATTGATGTGATCCACACTAGCCCCTGTAGAAGTGTCTGGCATTTCCACTCTGTACACAGCAGGAAGATCCCTCCCATAGAGGGAGACCTGTGCTTGGGGAGCTGCCTCCTGTTCACGCCAGACTTTTGATCAACCTCAGCCAAGAGCTTTTTGCCATCCTGCCTTCCAACACACTTGGAGAGAGACCAAAATCCTCACAGACTTCAGAGAGACCAAAAACACTGGTGATTTATTACAGGCATTCCCTAGTCCATGATCCATGGCAAAGAAGAGCATTTCCCTGGTCCCTGCAGCATCAGCAGGTTGATCTCTGGCAGCTCAGTGCCGAAGCTGCAGTGTGAGGACAACTGCTGCCTGGTACAGGGGGAAGAGTTGAACGGCCCAGCATCTCCCCCCTCACATCTCACAGCTCACACAGTGGTGACTGAAAATGCAGTTGGCTCAGCCCTTCATGCTCACCATGCCCCAGTGTGGGGGCATTCATGTCAGCACCACCCCAAGCATCGCCTGATAGAGGAGAGCCTCACTTCTCCCTTCAATCCAAGGGCAGTACCTGCTTTGTCCCAGCAGGCAGCCACGGCTAACTAGAACACCCCCCAGCCCCACCACAGGACAGCAAAGGTCTGGAAAAATGACAGCAATGAGCAAGACAGACCACACAGAGAGAAGTCGGGGAAGGAGGCAGTGAGGCCAGTACCACCAGGGGTGACACCTGACCTCAGGAGCAAGCTCAAAAAGCAGGCAGAGGGATCCTACTGGCTTGGCACGCATTTGAGCGGTTGTAAGTCCGCTCCCTTGCTAGCCGCACTGCTACAATGTCTAGAGGATGCAAAGCTGCTAGTTCACCTTCCCGGCGCTCGGTGAGCACAGCCCCGGCCCCGCAGCAGCAGCACGTACCTGCATGGTGACCGTGCTGGTCTCCAGGGGGACGCAGCGGAGACCCTCGTCCCCACAACAGCCTCCACAGCGCTGCAGGGAGACGCACGAGGGTCTGAAAATGTACTCCACCTCGTTGGGGAATTCGGTAATGACGTCCACCAGCTGCTCTAGAGGCCGGCAGAAACTACGATTCCAGATCTCCCGAAAGGTAAGGACTGCAAGAGACAGGGACTATAAGGAGGCGCCCAGAGAGGCAGAGCCCAGCCGAGCCGCTGCGGGGCAGGTGCAGCAGTCGCGGGGGGATCCTGCAGCCACCACGGAGCACAGGGGAGTAAAGGACCACTTTGTGCTCCCAGAAAGTCCGTCACCGTACTGTGCACATCACTGTGCGGGGGCTCACACAGCCGCCCCGACAGGCTCTTTCTCCCTCTATCTGCCAGCTCCGTCTCCTTCCCAGGCACTCTGCTCACCCCGAGCTCCGCCGCGAAGGGGCTCCCCCGCACCTCGCCCGGCCGGGACAGCCGTCCCCAGGGGCTTTCCAGCAGGGAGAGCTGAAGCGGAGCGCTCCCACCCGGGACCCCGCATGCCGGCACCGCAGGGGCGGCAGTCTGGGGACTGGGCTGTGCTCCGCTCCGGCCCGCGGCGGTGCCCGGTGCCCGAGGAGGGCTGGGGGCACCAGGTTCCTCCGAGCCTCGGCACAGCTCCCGGCTGCCTCCCCGGCTGTCACCACGGGACTCCAGAGGTAACACAGCCCCGGGTAGTACCCAACGCGCCCCGGCCTTGCGCGAAGCCTTCCCTGGGTTGCTGCCCCCTCCCAGCCGGGGCACCGGCGGCCGCCCACCACCAACTCACCGGGAGACTCCGTGCTGGCGGTCCCCCTTACCTCCGGGGCCTGCAGGGAGGGAAAGGCGAGCTCTGGAGGGGCAGCACGGGGTGACCCGCTGCCGCCCCCCGCCTAGCGCCGGGAGCAGCTGTCCCGGCCTCCGTGGCCACCCCGGGCAGCCGCACCCTGCTCCGATCCCCTCCCGCCCCTCGGCTCTCACCGGGGCGGGCGGTGCCCCCAGCGTCCCGGCCACCAGCAACCGCAGGAAGGCGCCGAGCAGCCGCATCGCCGCTCCCGCCGCCCCGGTACAGACTCGGCGCCGCCACTACCGCCCCGCCGCCCCCGGCATGCCGCCCCGACGCCGGGCCACCGGCCCC